AAAAAAAAAAAAAAAAAAAACAGCACTGAATGAATTTGAACGGTAACGAGACGACAAGACCAATAATACTGATGTTGAGTCCACGTCCTCGGACCAATTCATACATCAGTTAATACCCTTTGGTGACGGCTTCTGTTATTAAAGTTGCGCCGTGGCGAAAAATTTTTAATTTTGGTTGCTTTATCGTTTTGTTAATTGGTTTAATTCTTTTCTATGTAACTAACGATAGTTTTGTTTGAGGTAAATCGTGGATTACTTCACAATTCTAAAATGATAAATAAGCGATGCACTGGAACCGTTTATATCGTACTGAGAACGTAAGAAACAAAAATGCTGGTTCAAGAAAACTCTGAATACAGTATGTGCCACGGCGGATATACTGATCATATTGGTTTTATTCGAAAAAAACTGACTTTGTTTTTTCGATCACAATGTAAAAAGATTTGATTGGTAGATATAGTGCCTATTGCGGCTCATTTAGAATTGCCGCCCTCACTTCACCAAGCGTATGTATGTACTGAATTGGAATGCTGCGCTGTTTTTAAGATGATCTGGGTTACTCAGTCCATATAATCTGATTTAAGTATTTCTTGAGAATAAAATGTTTTGTTTATCCACGCTTTATGAGTTCAGGGAGCTAGTTTGGACGTCACGACACGACTAAAAAATGCCGAGCCCGTACAGACCGTATAACGCTTTAAATCTCAGCCTATCACCGACTTAATTCACTTTGGGTTAAACATTATGCTGCTCAAGGAAAAATACGTTGAAAGTAAACAGCAACAAGACGGGGATCCAAATTGAGTGTCGAGTGTTTAGAAGCTCTCGACCTCATATTTATAAACTTTACCTTTATGACATGGTAATTTTCAATAATTAGCTGATACATTCATTCTGTATAGGCACGCCTTAATTCAAACCTATGATCACTAACTTCTCGGCGTTTTTATTTCGAAGCATAGTCAGTTTCAACCAAAGTTAAAATAATCGATGATATCCTTTTACAACATTTGCGCGTTTTAATTCATATTGCTTTGTTCTTTCATTGAGTCAAAAGATGTGGGCGTAGAAGTAAGTCACTTCTTGCCTAAAGAAAATGGAATTTTAATCCTGACTGGAATGTATAGAGTGATGCAGTGAGCCCAATTTTAATTTGAAGATCAGTGGAACCATTGATTTGCATGTGGATGAATACAAACATTTTCTACAATGTTTAAAAGCTTCCTACTTCTAATTTTTGTTAATTAAAATTTAGGAAATGCAATCACAATAGCCAAGTTTGCTTATTTGTTTGCTTTATTGTTCTAGAAATTTCTATTTGCATGTTAATAGAACCGAGTGGAGGTGGCGGTCGTTAACGCCGAATTTTGATTACCTTTTTACTCAATACATTAAATTACTGAGATGAAACACAACTCACTCAATATGACAGTGATGATGTTTTTCCCTGCGCTTTTTACGCTTGTTAGCTGTATTTGTTTTCGCAATGCAACTCCCTTAGCTTCACTTAACAGTTACAGAGACATGTTCCATTCTGATAAGATACCATTTGACAGTCAGTGGACGAAAAATATTAATGATGATGACTTCTTATCTGTGTTTATTCGATGTTTAATATGTACAAAGTTATTTATCTAAATTAATTATATCTTTAATAACCAAACATATTTTCTTTTCAATGAAAAACAGATGATGAATTATGGTGCAAAAACATTCAGCAAATATGTTACTTCTGTGAAGAACCACAGCTTGTCAACAGCTAACACCATAATGTTTATAACTTGTAGCGCACAAACTACCTAATTGATGGTTGCCCATTTGTCTCTGACAAATGTCCATGTAAACTACTTTGACGCAGTTGTTGAGCAGTACACACCATTCCCGGGGACACAACAGTAAATGCCGACATGGTGTTGTGGGCTTCACTGCTATTTACCTCCTCCCATTTGTTGGACAAAAGTGTTTCGATGTGAAAACCTCTTTTTTCTGATCCACGTGGAATAGTGTTAGTGTTAAAGGGAATCTCATGCGTTGTAAACCTTTCGCTCGTCGTCAATTGGTCCTGTTTTCTTTCCCGATTTCTTCTCGGAGCTCTCTTTCTCTTGTACTCGCCCCGACTGAAGTCGTCGTAGTTTATCGGGTTGATTGCCCAGAAGTGTCCCTTGCCGTTAGGTGAACGACCCATTTTCACAAAGCAATCATTCAACGATAAGTTGTGGCGTATTGAGTTCCGCCATCCTGGTCCTTTATTCCTGAAGTAAGGGTAATTTGTCAGTATGTAGCTGTAGATGTCGCCTAGCACAAGTTTCTGTTGTGGAGAGCTTAGAATTGCCTTGCCAATGAGACCAATGTAGGACTGAGTTGGTTTTTCTTCATCGATGGCATGGTACGGAATGGCTTGTAAGGCTGGGTGGTAACAGTGACTCATATAACCAGGCAATACTCTAATATCTTTACCCTGACGAGGGAACGACATCTCTGGTCTGACATATCCACCATAATAAGGCGAGCATGGGAACACTGGTACAGTAGGTGAACTTGGAAGATAAAACCTCGAGGAGGCCATATTCACAGGCAGGAATCTACTTTCCATTGGCTCAACTCTGGAGGTGACAGAATCTTCTGATTTTAAAACTAACACACTGGAAAATGAATGAGCTTGGCACAATTGAACAAGCTGTGATATTGGTTTGAGACACGCACGTTTTGCGTAACTGATCAATTATGCTATTGTTTCTTATAGCGGAAATGGTTCCAAGTTTACTGTCAAATGTTCTTGATATTTATTACTAATTTAACAGGTATATGTAGATTATCAACATTCTCTCATTTCTCAGGCTATTGATCGGTTAGAAAACATTTTTTTAAAACCAAATCTGCAGCTTATTACTGAATAGAGATTCACGATTGTGATTTATACTTTTAGTCTTTTTTTTTATTACTATAAGGTTATTATTTGTAATTAGCACTCCACGCCTTGTGTTTGGCTTTTCTTTCGAAGTTGTTTGTTGGGAGGTGCTAATGACAACGCTTTAAAGTAGCTTTTACTTCAAAAGGATATTCAATTCATTTTACTTCAATCCCTTGAGACACCATTGACTGAGCCTTTTACAAATCAAAGTCAAACTTCAATCTTCACAACAAATCTCATTTGCATTCTGCGTCAAGTTGTGCGGCAGATAACTCTGCTTTATCGCAAACTTACAACAAGCACCAAGCAAACGAGTTCAAATTACCGTTCACTTTGCTGTTGACGAGGCGTTTGTTTAGCATTGTTTGTCTCAAGTGCTAATGGTAACGTTATTGTTTACTAATGGTAGGGTCTGACGAAGGGGCGTGATTATTCCAACTCAAAACAAAACAATTACTGAGCTGTTTGGTCACTTTTAGAGTTGCTTTGTACGTTTCATTCAAGACAGAGAATGAGGGAAGCAAACCGAAAAAAAAGTGCCAGAATCACTGACGAACAGTGACCAAAGCAGAAAGAAACGGCGATTTTAACATTGAAAATGTACTTTTTATCTTTGATTTAATATCTTATAAACACTTTTATGGAAATTCTGTCTATTGCGGTTGCATGTACCTGAATATAAAAACGGTTTTTTCAATATCCAGACACTTTACTCTCCACTGTGCACTTGCGTTGCGGACACTCCAGCATGTGGAGAGCAATTCAGGTTTACCTTTTACCACTTATGTTTACTGAAGATAGAAGAAAAAACAAAGTTTTATTTTCTATATATCCGCTTATATTTCATTTGCCGATATACATTTGTTCCATCTTTGCTAACATTGTATTGCCAGTAGTCAATATTGAGTTCACACACTAACGCTTTGTTTGTGTTTTCCACTTGATGCCCATTTGCCACACGACATATCCCAAAAAGCTATTTGAGAACCAATGTTTATAACATAACGATATTAAGCGTCGAGTATATCTTAAGTTAAAGATCAACAGCATTATTTCTCACGATAGTCAGAAATGTGTTACTATTTAAAAGCTCTTTATACACCGGTATGTTTTCAAGCATCTATACTGATCTCCAAAATGATTTTATTATCAGTGCTAACGTCGTGAACTAACACGGTGGACTTGGTTTCAAAAGTCGGCAGTTTTCATTATAGATATATAAAAAAACACGTGTTTTTATGCTGTTAAAGTAAAGATTCTTTATTAGGCCAAACGGTTACTATGGCATGCTGTGTCGTCTTTGTGTAGTCATTAATTTCATCAAAAAATCGCCAATGAGCTTTGCATCTCGAATGTAAAGAACTTGGTCGGTGCCTAAACTATAGTTCGTTTTCGTCTATATCGCGTTCTGCCGTTACAAGTAGAGAAATTGTCGGTTTGAGAAACATTTTTGTCACCGACTTCGTTACTCGGATTTGCACCGCAATGAATAGAAGACGTGTGAAAATGTCTCGGAACACCTCACAAGCTTTGCCTGGCCGATAATAACTGTTACTGGCTCGTTCATATTTACTTCCCCGATTATTTGTTTTATCCTTAAAGCCTATGCACTAAACGAAAGGCAGTCCCTAAAACAGGTTATTTACTTTGCATACAGGCGGATCGTAATATTTCTTGTGAAGGCAACGTTTGTTGGAGCTTTTTAACCTTATTGTCATCATTGGTAGAATAAAAACCTGGAAAAACGATAAATTGTAACATTCTCTCCTTGTAACGTCTAAGCAAGCAGACATGTTTCTGCAAAGATCGACTAGGCTGGGACTCTGTTTGCAGAGTACTTGATAAGATCGACTAGGAATCCATCACGGCTGGGACTGTGTTTGCAGGGTACTTGGACTCCCTGCTGGGACTGTGTTCGCAGGGTAGTCGACTGATAAGATCGACCAGGACTCCCGGCTAGGACTGTGCTCACAGGGTACTTGATGTTATCGACTAGGAATCCCTCCCGGCTGGGACTGTGCTCGCAGAGTCAATCTATAAGATCAACTTGTACTCCTCCCCAGCTGGGACAGTGTTTCTGGGACTGTGTTCTGGGACTGTGTTCGCAGGGTACTTGATAAGTCACTTTGTTGTTTTTCGCGCTTTACATTAACTTCACTTTTGAGAATGCGGCAGCCATCAACATTGGCAACTTGAAAAAGTACAAATAACAAACATATTGATCTCGAGCCTCTCTATTGTGGAAGCGGAGAGGAATGACATTAAAAAATCTTATATCGGCATTGTGATGACTCCGAGGACCCTGTGGGGCAATTTGGGGGCATTTCAGCATTCACGGGCCGGTGATAACACTTCGTTCCTTTATGATTCAACTCCTTGCAAACATTTGGCATTAAGTCACATCTAAACGCAGGTTTATTTGTTTGGTTTAGCTCATCAAGTGAGATGTAAATTCGCATTGAATACTGAGAGAGGAAGAGAGGTGAAAGTCGTTAACACTACATTTTGATTACGTTCTCTTAAAACTACAATCACTGAAATTGAATGCAAGTTAGATCTTTACTTGTGTATTTGAGTTCTATTCCCACAGACCTATATATCTTACTGCGCTATTTTCTTCAGAACGTCCTTCACCTGCGAGCTAGCTCTACAGTTTCAACTAGAAGGAGAATCGATTAAACATTTAATCTACCTAAGTCTTTCTGTTTAACTTCTCGAATTATTTTCTGGAATTAAGCATATTACATAGTCACTTATATTCCTCTTTGAACAACGCCATAAAACTTGTTTTATTTGCTATTAACTTAGATCAGTTCAAAAAAAGTCCTTTTTACACCTGTTGACCTACAACTGATGCTCAACATAGCAATTCTACCCCTGTGTTTCATATTTTGTGTTTATCTATCGATATATATTGTTAGTACAGCACCATCTACATGGAAATGTTAACTTCTGAATTATAAACCGCTGGAGTCCAGATCAAGACTGGTTTTAAACTACTTTGACGCTGTTTTCTACGGAAGTTGACGATCGATCCCTAAGACACAACAGCAAATGCAGACGTGGTGACGTGGCCTCCACTGTTCTCCTCTTTCCATGAGTTGGACAAAAGAGTTTCTATGTGAAAACCTCTTTTTTCAGTTACATTTGGACTGCAGTCCATGGTGTAACAGTGCATTTCACGTACTGTACACTTGCCAACATCTTCATTCGACGTCACCATCTCATCCCATTTTGTCGCAGTTTGTCTCTTTGCACATCTTTCTGTTTCGGAACGCTTTTGATTTCTTCTCGGAGCTCTTTTTCTCTTGTACTCGCCCCGACTGAAGTCGTCGTAGTTTATCGGGTTGATTGCCCAGAAGTGTCCCTTGCCGTTAGGTGAACGAACCATTTTCACAAAGCAATCATTCAACGATAAGTTGTGGCGTACTGAATTCCGCCATCCTGGTCCTTTATTCCTGAAGTAAGGGTAATTTGTCAGTATGTAGCTGTAGATGTCGCCTA